GACTTTTCATCTTAGTAAATGTGATTACATCATTAGTAATCAAAACAGGCAGAGGCTCAACTATGCTGCTGCATTGAATAGAATGTTTCACAGTACAGCTTGAATCAGGGAACAGGAGATACAAACACAGAATAAATTATTGTCTTTTGGGAAAGGTGGAGAGAAAGAAAAGGAGAATTCAGGGACGTAGATATAATCTCTTCTGTGCCATTTGCCTTCATGGCCAGTTAATGTTTCAGCTTCAGCTGCAGACAAGGTTAGACTTTTGTCTATACACAATTAGTGAGGATTTAGATGAACTGTTTTGCTCCCTGAGGGGTGGGAATGGCAATCACTATATCACATGTCATCAGGGAACTAGGTAAGAACAACTTCAACTATTCTAATTGTACTTCATTGGATACATCTTTCCTCAACTGTAGGTTCCCACTTCTAAGAAAAGGGTTCCTAACTACATTCTACTATAAAATAATTAAATAAATTCCTATGTATATTTGTATGTCCATGCATATGTGTATGTGTAATGTACAGTCATGCACTAATAGATGCTGTGGGGCACCCAGCTGGAAAGCAACCTGGTAGAACAGGAGCCAGCACTGTGCCCTCGCCTCAGAATGCAGGTGATATCTGGAGCTGCATTACACAAAATATTGTCAGTAAGTCAAGGAGAGTGGTTCTTCTCCTAGAGTCAGCACTGGAGAGGTCCAGCCAGGAGAGCTGTGTCCAATTCTAGACTCCTCAGTACAAGAGAGACATGAGCATACTGTAGGGAATACAATGAAGGCTCACAAAGATGATGAAGGGACCGGAGCACATCCCCTATAAGGGAAGGTGGAGAGAGGTGGATCAGCTTATCCCAGAAAAGAGGAGCCTTTGGGAAATCTTACTAATGTTCATAAATAACTGAAGAGAAGGTGCATAAAGGAGAGATCCAGGCTATTTTCAGTGGTGCCCAGAGCACTAGAGTCAATGGGCACAAACTGAAACACAGGAGGTTTCCTCTGAACATCAGGAAACACTTTAATACTGTTAGGGAACTAAGCACTCGCAGAATCCTTGGAATTATTTAACACTGTTTACACAGAGTCCTGTATAAATGGCTCTAGGTTATCTCTGCTTGAGCAGAAGTGTTGGACCACAGGTTATTCAGAAGTCCGTTTCAACCTCAGGCATCCTTTCTTTTGATTCTGTGATTACGTATATGTTTATCACATCACGTAAAAAAATACAAACACAGACACACATGTACACACCCCTGTATATAAATTATCTGTAGGGTTTCTGTATGGTTTTACATGTACTAATTTTCTTGGGTTTTTTTAAAATTAAAAGGGTTTTATTGAAACTGCCTTCAAAAATTGAAAATTGAGGACAACAGTGGCACCATTCAGCCACAAAAGTAGTTTCTTATACTTTTTGAATAACTGAAAAAATGTCCTCTTAAATACAGTTTTTACTTGTTTCTTAACTTCTTTGTTAACTTACTCTCTGTAAAGAATGCTATCAAAAGTCACAGGGAAAATGTTTGATAAGCTTGTAAATTAACAGTTCAAATAAATGATCTAAAAAACTTCAGCATTAACAAGGTTTAAGGATGCCACCACATTTTCACTCTCTCCAAATCCCTTAAGAACAAAAATGAGCATAAATGATGTTTTCTGTGTGTTTTCAATAGAAACACCTTCAGACTTATCATCCCTGAATCATACCTTTCAGATTCAAGTTACAATCTCCTGGTATGCAATTATTTAGAAATTAAAGTGTTTTCATTATATTATTAAGTATACTTATTATAATATTACCTATTACCTATATTATTACCTATTATAAATAAATAAATAAATAAATAAATAAATAAAATATTGAAATAAATTTTTATGTTGGCCAAGCCACCAGTCTTTCTTTTTTGACTTGAATGGAGAAATATGAACTGTTTTAGTTTAGAAGATGGTTCCAGGAAAATCAAAGAAGCAAAAAAGTTTCTGTGGCAACATTGCAGGTTCTATTATTTAATTTTCAGCTTCATGATAGTTTCCTTTTAACAAGTTAATATTGGCTTGCCTTCTGCTAAATTTATTTACTGGATTATGAATTACATAGTTTAATATTGTACTACTTAAGTCTGACTACATTGCCAATATAATTACTGCAACTTGAGAGTGAAATGAGGTATCACAGAAACTCAGACTATAAATTTAAACCTTCATTTTAAGTGGATCTAAGTACAATCTTTCCAGTCTGTCAATAACTTTGGTAGTCTTTTACTTCTTCTTTTTAAGTTAATTTAAAAGTAAGGAATGTAGATTTTTTTACTTTTTTTTTTTTTTCAAAGGTCCAATGATGAGCTGCTAATTTTGACCTGGCTTCTTTCCAGAGAAATCTTCAGTTAATTTTCAGTGCAATGAAAATGACAGAGGGTTTTATTTGATACATATTTAAGTACAAACCACAGCAGGAAAAAAGTACCCTTTTGGTAATAAAAACTAAAATTTCACTTTCAGTTCTCAATAACTTTTTGCTGAAATTCTGTTATATCCTAATTCTAATTTGAAAAAGACTTTGCTTTTTTAGCATTATTGTTGACACATTTATGATGCAGTTCTCAATTACAGACCAGCACCAGTGTATAAGACTTAATTTCCAGATTAAATAGAACAGAAAGTTCAGGAGAATTGCCAGTATATCACTATAAAACATTTCTTCCTAAATTTTTTTTAAAAGCTTTAAAAACCTTTTTTTAAAAAAAGCTTTTTTAGAAACCTTTAAAAAGGTTTTTAAACCTTTTTCTTTTCATGCACCCAGTGCCCTAGTCATCTACCTCCTTGCTATATAAATGCAGCTCAGCAATAGCCAAAACATGTAAAGACTGAAATGGATAATGGCTTAAACACTGCTAAAATCATCAGAGGACTTTTGCCCACTGTAGAAAACTGCAAAGATCCAGCTGTTCATCTGCAACCATCAAAATCCATGTCTCCCTAAATAAGCATATTAACCAGAATTTGGACTGTGAGAACTTGAAATGAGATAAAGGGGGCATCCCAGAAGTGACACTGGAAGAGCCATTGGAATGCTGATGGCTCAAACAATCAGGGACAAGCTGCTGATGTGCAAAGTAGCCACCCAGGTGCAGTGGGAGAGCACACCTGACACCTCAGGCTACAGCTGGTGTTGAACCAGATAAGGTCAGAGGGAAATCCTGAGAGGCACACTACTCTGTCTTTGTCCCTACTCAAGTGACTCAGCTGTGATAACTCCCCTTCAGGGAAGTACTGGGGCATTCACACAGAGCCTGAAAATATCAGTCTCTGCTGATGGGCCATAATGGGTCTCAAGGGACTCAAGTTCATTGATGAAATAAGCAGCTGTATCTTAGAAGGTGTCAAAGACTCCAGAAGTGTCCCATGATCCACATTACATCATCCAGTTGAAATTCCCCACTCCAAGGGAGATACCTGGTCTTTCCTACCTGAATGTATATAAACCAAATAGATTTCCTGCGCTGTGGATTTCACTGGGATTTCCTCCATCACCTGGTGATCGAGTCTGAAACTGTCACTTCGACCAAGATAGTGACCATCACTTGAACAGACATCAAAATTGCCCCAAACAAGTCTTGTCTTGAGGCCTACGGGTGGTAAGGTCTTTCTAACTCTTATGCCTTCCTTCTCTTTCTTAAATACTTTCTTAAGTGTTATTTTTATTCTTTTATATTGTAACTAGTTATATACCTGTTTTTCTGTGCAACCAAACTGTTCACCAATAAAGCCTACATGTGTATGTTTAAAAGCACCAGTCATTCAGCCTTGTTTCACTCTGATCTGCCCCAAAGGATCTATTAACAGGAAGGGTTACTCTCACCTTCTGTTTTATCAATAAGTGCAAAGCACAGCACATTATCAGCAGTCATGAAGACAGTTCACTCCACTCCAGCCAGGCCCATTACACTAACTGAAAGGAGAATGATTGAGTGTATGGAATTATGGAAAAGAATTGCTACTTAGCTGCCTGAATCACAGATTGATAGAAACATTCATAGGAGAGAGATCCAAATGACCACCAGTGGTCAACTAGGTCTGCTCACTCAAATCAGGGCTTCTGCCAACACTGGATTTAGTGATCTGGTCTGGCTAATTCAGGAAAACTTGCAATGAAGAAGCACACTTGACCTTTAAAAAAAACGGCTGCATTTGTTCATTGCATTCCAAGTAATTCCTCCCCAAGCCAATGTCCAACCTGCACTGTCCATGCCACAAATTAAGAGTGTTTGTTTCTTCTTACATTTTGTGGTGTGCCCAGGAATGTGGTTCCATGATCTTATCTTCAGGTCTTAAGTTGCTACTAGGTCATTGCTTAGCCTTCTTTTCACTAGTTTGAACAAGTCCACTTTTGCTTCTCCTTTCTAGACATACCATCTTGGTAGCCCATCCCTGAACCCTCTCAAATTTGTGCCTATGCCTTTCAAATCATGGATTACAAAATTGGAAACAATTTTGTAGGTGCAGTCTTAGCAGCACCAGGCATTATGGGAATAAAAACTTCACATTTCCTGGTGAGAGAATTTTTTGTGTTGTAAAACAATACAGTTTTCTTAATTCACACTGTTGACTCATCCTCAGCCTGGTATCTGTATAAATCCAATGTGTTTGGGGGCTTTTTGTTGTTGATTTGTTTGTTCTGTTTGCATTCTATTGTTTTTTCTGAGAATATTTATTATTCTGCCTGCTTTTTCTTAGCATGTTATGAAATGTGCAGTTACTCCTCTTCAGTTTCAGAATTCTGCCCTTCTTGTGAATATGTTAGTCCAATCCTCAAGTTTATTGAGATCATCCTGGGTAAAAGGATACCACTAATTTTTTCTGATGCTCAGCAGGTTCGTTTTTAAACACACAGAGTATTCAGAAGCTGCAGTTTATAAACTGAGAGAGTTTTCACAAGGACACAATAACAATGACGTTCTTGTTGTTATGATGCTGATGATTACATAATTTTAAAAATACCTGAGGTGGAAGGAGTGGTAATCTGATATAAGCAAGCAGCATACTTAGGTCATTGCATCGCCTCTGCATATCATATTTCACCCACATCATTAAGGCATGGAAAATGGTCTCTTCATCAGGAACATTCACATCATCACTGGCAAGAAGTTTATGGAGTTCTTCGGCAGGTAGAAGTAAAAATTCTTGATTTCTTATAACTTCCATTATATTCTCCTGAGAAGAAAAAAGTATTTCAGATTCAGTAATACTGCAAGAAAATTAAAAAGCATGTTAAAGCTAATAAGGCATAGAATTAGTCAGTATCTGTCATACCCAGATATGGGTATGCTCTGCCATATCCTTGCAGCTTATGAGAAAAACAAAACATAAATTATTAGAATTCAACAGCTATAGTTGCAGTTCACGTATAAATATATTTTGAAAACAATACGAGGATTATATGATAACGTCATAATTAAAATTTGTCAGTATTAATAAAGGCTACTGTTTGAAATTTTTATAAACTCAGTTGTAATTGAGCACATCAAATATGTTGTAAATCTTTACATGCTCATACTACATTTTCCTGGATATTTTCACTGTCTTTCTTTCACTATTCCTTAAATAACTTGTCAGTCATATAGTTATATTAGAAATATCTAGATTTCCATCTACATATATGACAAGGCTGAGGGGACAATCAACATCATTAATTAAGGATTTATTTTTTTTTTACATTGTTCAGAACAGATTTTTAATATCCAGCTGTCATGCAAATAGTTTACAGCAATTAAGATCTCACAGTATTGAAAACTATTGTACTGTTGCGGTTTAGGAACAATAATCCCCAATTCAGTGCCCCCCTCTGAGACTCTCCAAACTACTGACACTCTCTTGCTTTCCTGCTTTTCCCCTCACGCTTCCACTCTGCAGTGGGCTGGAGAGGAAAATTGGAGGCACAAAAGGTAAAGCTCACTGGCTGATATAGGAACAATTTACAAGAAACAGCAATGAGGCAAGGAAACAAAGAGAGATGGCAACTACACTAATGACAGAGACAAGAAAGGAAATTATTCACACAGAACCACAGCTCTCACACACACTCCCCCCATCCCCAAGAGACAACACCAGGTGGATCCCAGGTGTTGTATTTACTTGACCAGAAAGAACGCATTCCCCTTGGAAGAGACCTTTCCCCCCCACTCCCAGCAATGCCATAAGGTTTTACAGACTAACCTCTGTGTCCTAGTTATGCCCCACTCCTGGCTACTGCAAAAAAAATTAACCTTGTCCTGGACAGAACCAGGACAAATAAAAAGAGGAATAACTGAAAAACCATTAAAAAAACCCCTATAAACTAATAAAACATATAAACAAAACAAAACAAAACAAACAAACAAGCAAAACCAAAACAAAACCAAAAAAAACCTCCAAAAACCCAACAAACAACCTAAAAAAAAAAAAGTGTTGCATTTAGCTGTCTGAATACTAAGGACTGAATTATGCACTCCCTGAACTACCTACCCTACATCAACAGGACACTGTAGAATCACAATTCCATAGATATTTTTCTCCAAATATTTCTTTTAGGGTGCTTTATCTCTGTGGAGGAATTGTAAATGTATTTTCATATTCTCAATTTATAGACAGAAAGTGAAGTAATTGAAGACAGGAGGTACAAAGAAAAAAAAGGAACTAAATTTTAATGTAAACTGAAAATGTTAAAAGCAATATTGGGAATGGTAAGTTGCAACATCTAATTTATTAAAAATAATAATTAATTTTGTTATGCTGTTTTGGATAGAATTTTTAAGATGAGAAGTGGGAAAGAATGACAACACATCAGTCAAAGACTTAAATGTAAGAATATCAAAACTGAGAGAAGTGGATAACACTCTAAATTCAGTTTTTAGCACATGAAAATCCAATCAAGGCTGCCTATAATTGCTTGATTTTGTCTGAACCAGGGGAAAGACTGACTGGTCATCAAAACTGAAATAGAAGACATCATAACAAATACAAGAAAATAATGTGCAAGACTTACAACAATAGAATTATACTCTGGCTCTTGTGTGTCACATGCTGTCCTTCCCTGACTTATTCAATAGAAGGAAACTCTTATTTTAATTCTCCAAATTAATACTTTTTGAAATGTACTGTTTAAACATATTTATTAAAAATTAACTCCATATTATTTTATATAAGGAAGCAGAGATGAATATTGCAGACATAGACATGACGAAATCATGAGACAGAAGTTCCTTGAAATGTGTAATGTAATTACAGACAAAATGCGTAAGTGCAGATAGAATAAATTTGACAAAGTTGAAAATTTTGCTTATTATTATAAATATGAATGGTTTGATATGTACAACTTAAGTTTCAATGTGCTACTTTTTAACTCAACATATATAGGATGCTGACACAACAGAAAATCAAACATGTATATGTGGTCATGACCTATATTAACCATGCTGTTAAGCTACCTTAACATAAATGATAATTGGATCAAAACATGACTCAGTTCTTTTTAAAATTGCTACAATAAATGTCAATAGGTCCCTAAAAATGTAGATTTTTCTGGAATGATGTTTTAAACCATTATCTCTTGATAAAGTTTAAATTGTGCATCTAGAACATTTTAGAATAGCTTGGAAATGTAAGGGAGCTAGTTTGCAGGGAAGCACTTAACCATAAACTGGCTTAATTAATTTTAATTAAAAAGTCATAAAACTCACAAGATTTCATTGCACCTCTCAATTAAATGATTTATAAGACAAAGTTTAATTAAGCCTGGTTCAACTGACATTAAATCCCATTATGAAAAAAAGAAATAGTTCTACCTCTTAATAGGAACTAACATCAAACTTTGCAATAGCATATTAATCCAAAGGCCTAATACTATAGAGTAGCATTGTGATGGTGCAACATGTTTCATGAATCCACAGAACTTGATTTACTAAGAATAACAATCCAAGCAGGAGTTTTAACTTCAGAAAAATAATTTTAGATTTGATTAAGGGTTTTTTTGGTCATCTTAAATTGTTTTTTTATTTGCCTACATAAAGAGAACCTATTCCAGCCTCTGTACTGATTGTAGAATCAAACAAAGTTTTCAGACAAAACATGTAAGCTCAAATCTCTTTTTCTAAACATGAGGACTTACATAAATTTCATGTTACTTGGGCATGAGTATTGCAGAAAGTAATAACTATATATTATGTTATATATATATTATAAATATACCATATATATCCTTGTATAGAATATAATTGCAATATAGATAATTCTGATTTATATATGAAATCCAGGTTTTTGATCTTCAGAGGTAAAAACTCTCTCCTTCAACTTATTAGCACTTCCTGAGCTGACTAATTAATATTAAATCTTTCCAGATAATGTTTTAACTCCTTAACGTTCATTTCATCTGGAGCAGCAAAGCATATTTCAATGGCTAGCTGTTCTAAGATAACAGTAATAATTAAATAATTTCTCATATGCTAATAATAGAAAAAATATCCACTTTTTTTTTTTTTTTCTTTTTTTTTTTTTTTTTTTTTTTTTTTTTTTTTTAATGTGACTAGTCTTCTTTTTTGCACTTTAGGGAACAAGATGCAACAGGTATCTGTGACACCTTTTCGGGATACATTAAATACATTTTAAATTCTCCTGAGTTTAAGATGCAAGGTAGGAATTGAGGCACACAGTTACAGAATCACAGATTCATTACAGCAGGAAAAGACAAGATCATCCAGTTCAACCATTAATCTAACACTGGCATCTTCACTACTAAACCATGTGTCAGGTACCAAATCTAAATATTTTTTAAATACTTCCAGGAATGGTGATTCCACACTATGATCACCCTTTCAGTAAAGAAATTTTTCCTAATATCAAATGGCATTTTCCCTTGACACAAGTGGAGGCCATTTCCTCTCATCCTGTTCTAGTGAAGTCCTTTCAGGAATGCCTAGGTCCTCATGGGCACAAAACCTTTATTATGGGAACAAGGGTACTGAACCTTTCAGCATACTGAAGATTATGTGACAGAGTTGTATAAGTCTCCACAACCAGTAATTTTTGACTCTAACAGGCTTTGTATATCAGTCTTCACCATCTCGTAAGTCTCATAAGATGCACTGGATCTGCTCTGCATGCATCATTCACATAGACTTTCCATGTTTTAATTAAGTGGAGTAGTAGATTTTTTCTTTTAATTAAGAAAATGCAACTTACAGTATAAAGTATGACAGTCTCTCAACCCCCTTGGACAAAGCTGTGTCATTTGATTGCCCTTCCACTTTCTAAAAATGACCATGCAGTAACCATTGCTGTGGGGTTATAGCATTTCAGTGGTACAGCTGTTTCACTTTTAAGCCTTTTCAGCAGTACACAAGGTTAGCATTAAATAAGCGTGAAGTATTAGAACAGTAGAGCCATGTAAACAAAATATATCTATGTTTAAAGGTAGATAAGCAATTGTCCAAGTATCTAATAGATTGTGCATCAGAGGAACACAAAGTCTCTAATAAAATTAAACTATTACCAAATGGAATTTAATACCATATATCTTTATAATAATGTCACCAACACAATTAAATTAGATTTTTAAAAATTCCTAACTTGTAATGATTATTATTCCGCATGGAATCAAATTATCCTGCAAAAGCTAGTTTTCATTGATGGTTATGTCATTGATTTCACTAATCAGCATGTATCAGTTATAATGAAGAGCCTGAAATATATTAAATAATTCCTTATGTTGACAAAGAATGTCATGTTCTGAGAGTGCTATTCCGAACCTGCTACATCAGAGTTACCAAGGAAGTAAAATGCTTAGCAGGTGTTTTGATTTTGGATGTAGGGGTCTTATTTAAAATGTTTTATATTTTTGTGATTTGGATGCTGTGACCTTAACAATTAAAAATTGAAAATCACATAAAACAATGTCAAAAAATAGATATCCATATACTAGGCTTTCACTTAGTACATAACTAATGTCTATGATATTTTAAGCTCATACTACTTTTAGTTTAGAACTTAAGTTTTCATGAGAATGTTTAAATAAATGAATAAATAGTGTATCTGACCTTCATATTAAATCATATTGGCAATATACTTTCTGAAGTGATAAGGCATAAAAGAAAATTTTGATTTTAGCCAATTCTCAAGCTATTTCAGTCTGGAATTATTGCTGCTGTGCTACCCTGAATTCACACCTCTTGTTTTTATGC